GTACTCACATATTTGGGAAGATGAGACTATGGTACCATGGCTACTTCCAGAATTTTCTGGAAGCCCATTTTAATTATGCAAGCCAGGCCATTTTCTGGGGATTTGGATGAGCCTCACCTATACTTACTGGTCAGGCTGTAGGGGATCCTTTCTCCAGAGAGAGTTAGTTGCTCACTAACTCATATCCCTTGAAAGTGGCCCCGACTTCCTCTTGTGAAGGGCCAAGGCCTTGGAAACAGGAAAACTGATTTTGAATTAGGTAATTAAGAGTGTGAGGGAAAAGAAAATCCTCTGTATAACTTCCACAGATTTCACACACTCCCCAAGGATCAGGCTTGCTCGATAAGATTTCCATATTTTAAAACAATTGAGTAAATCAAATATCAGCTTCATCAATTTTCAGAGTTTTGAAAAAGAAAGTAATTTCTTCCAAATATGCATGTTCTTACACTCTTACTTCACTTTGCTTGAGGCTAAAGATAATCTCCAGTTAGCCCCTGTCTTGGTTTGCATCCTTCCAGAAGCCAACAATGAGACAAAGATGTGAGCGCCAGTCTTTTTTCTGGGAATCATCGCAAGTGAGTTCATGGAGTAGGAAATACAGAGGGATGGGAAGGTAGTGAATGAATGGGATGTTAATGAGCAGGTAACTTCTGAAGGCAATTGTGTCCCAATTCCATGGGGGAGCACTGGGCAACAGTATTAGAAAATGTGTCAGGTACTCTAATCAAAGAAAGATGGGGTCTTTCAATAACTCCTCTGCATCTTTGGCTGAGGGATCCTTCCCACTCACCCACCTATCCTGATATTTCTCATTCAGCTGCCAGAAAAAAATGGCAGGGGAAAACTTTCAGGTTCTGATACAAATGGTAACTAACAAGGGAATAGGTCCAGGCACCAAGGGCATCTGCTCCAGGCACACCTCCTTTCCTCCCAAGGCACCTGTCTATCCCACACCCCAAACCTACCAACCAAGGAACACTCTTTGTTATGAGCTGATCTCCATTGGCTTTCAGAATTAAACTAAACATTAAAGAGACCATCAACCCATGGAATTGGAATATAGAGGAAAACTGTATGAATGTTTAAATACTCCAGGGAGGGTTCTACTACAAATCTGGAAGATAAACCGGGATATCACTGCCCAGACAAGAACCTGGTCCACGGTCTTAGATTCTCCAGGGCACCATGTGTAACCTTCATTGCTAATCCCTCTGCATTCTCATGTCAGCACAGCACATCTTTGTTCTACCTACTCCACCTTATCCTGATGTCTATCAAGCATCTCACTCTCTTGTGAGGAGGGAGAGGGGGTTAGAATGCACTTAAAGTTTAGAAGACAATAATTGACAAATAAGCAGGCTTGCCCTCATGACGTCTTATGGTGTGTTGTTGTTTTTTTCTTCTGGAAATTAAAGGTAGCACATGTAGTCAGGAGCCCAGACTCAAACCAAACTGCCTGGGTCTGAATCCCATCTTTATCGTTTATGAGTTGTGAGTAATCCTGGGGAAATTATTCATCTGCTGTGTAAAATGGGCTTAATAATAGTACTACTACTTTGGGCTGCTCCAAGGATTCCATGCTTTAATACTTGTACCTAGAATAGTACCTAGGATGTGCTCATTGCTTGATAGGTGTCTGATAAAAAATATAAAGGAATCCTACAATAGATAACAAACATGTCTTGTGATTAGTGCCAGGAGGAAATAGTGTTGGATAAAATAGTCCTACTTACACTATCAAATTATAGTTTCAAAGTAAGTTTTTTGTTTTTTTTTTCTCATTTTTCTTTCCACACCAAAAATAAGAAGCACTGATCTTGAACCCATCAGAAATGAGGTGAAGAATAAGTCTTGCCACTGACCAGCTATGAAAACCTGTTTTCTCTGGGATTCTAGCTGTTTGCCTACATCTTGGGGATGTATCAAGCATCAAATAAAGTAATATATATATTCCTAATATGCAAATAGGCCAAAGTGCAGAACAACCAAACAACAGGTCACTATGGTGTATGCTGACCACCAAGGGGTGCGTGGGGAACATAGCGGACATTGGCAGCAGGCAGAAGAGTGCAGAACATGGCAGACATCGGCCATGGGAGGATGGTGGAGCAGGTGAGCGGGGTGTGCCTGACCAAGGCTGGGTGCCAGTCGCTGTCATTGGGGCAAGACTCTGGTGGTTACTAAAAATTCTTGCTCCCCTGTGCCAAGCATTCGCACCTGCTGCCACTGCCAGTCCCACTCACACCCACTGCCAGCACCAGAGCCCCACTCGCACCCACTGCTGGAGTGCGGTGCTGGCCTTGATCACTCAGTGCCATCAGCAGGTGTGAGTGGCAGCTGCCAACCCCTATTGCCCCTCAAGTCTTCTCCACCTCCCCCTGCTCCTGAGGGGTGATCGAGGCAGCAGCCACCCCTCGCATCCACTGCTGGAGCCTGCCCCAATTGCTCCGTGCCATCAGTGGGTGCAAGCGGGGCCAGCGCTATCAGTGAATGAGAGTGGCAGTGGCAGGAGCAAGGCTGCTGGCAAACAGGGGACCAAGGGCCAGAGTGGGAAGGGCCAGGCAGGGGCGCAGAGGATGGGCCAAGATCTGTCCCTGAGCCCACGGCAGCCTTGCGGCCCACAGTTCCTTTCAAGGCGCACGAATTCGTGCACTGGGCCCCTGGTAGATAAATATCTTGCAGGCTCTCGGGTGTCTTACAAAGTGAGCTCTGCTTACTGCCTTCTTTTACTTCTCCTGCTTCTTTTCCATTTTCTTCAGGATCCCTTTTCCATTTTCCCTCCATTTTTATCATTCTCTCTTATAAAATAATTCAAGGAATTTTTTTAGACCAAAACTAAGAGGACTATAAAGTCAGGAGTAATCTTATCAGCCACAGGTAATCTCTTGTAAAGAGTAATCAGCCTTCTTAGTCTTTAAAAATAAATGTAGCCAAAACTGGTTTGGCTCAGTGGATAGAGCATCGACCTGAAGACTGAAAGGTCCCAGTTTTGATTCCAGTCAAGGGCATGTACCTTGGTTGCAGGCACATCCCCGGGGGGGTGTACAAGAGGCAGCTGATCCATGTTTCTCTCTCATGAATTTTTCTAACTCTATCCCTCTCTGTAAAAAAAAAAATAAATAAATAAATAAATAAATAATCAATCAATAAGTAAATGTATTTTAGGCCCTTACTATTGTTTATAGCTGCCTTTTAAAATTTCTTTTAGGGTCACATTTTTTATGTCACTACACTTTATGATATGACTTAAAAAAAAAACTATCCCATTTTTAATGCACCCTCTTTTTTGCAACTTATTTCCAATTATGGGGCATTTGGGTGTTTTTCTCCAAATTTCCTCCTATTAAAAATAATAGGGGCATGAACATCCTTGGAGAAATGTCTTTCCTCAAAATCAATACCATTTCCTTGGAATTCTTAGGAGAGAATTGACAATATCACATATAATTTATATTTCTTAAATTCTGATATACAGTGCCAAATTTTTTTTCTAGAGTGATGGTTTCACTTTAGCCTCTTTTCAAGAGTATTGAAAAATGCACATTTTCCTTCTAATTTCATCAAAAATTATAATCTTCAAATAGTAATTTGATATTCAGAAAATAAGATATGTGGTTACAATTTACATTTATTTATTTGTGAAATTAAAAATGTTCATATGTTCATTGGCCATTTTTATGTCTCTGTGAATTTCCTATTTATGTCATTTTCTATTTATATCATTTAACCTATCTTGTGCTAGACATTATTTTACTTCTTCAAATATAAGGGCTCTTTACACAGAAAGGACATTAACCCTTTGCAGTGTCACATACTTTTTTTTAAGTTTGCCATTTGTTTTCATTTTTATAGAAATATTAGAGCATGGGAGTTTCTATTTTTTATGTGGCTTTGTTTGCTTTGATTTTAATGGTTGGTGTCTATGGCATGCTTGGGAAGGCCTCTGCTATCCCAACTTTAAATAGACATATATCCACTTAGTATTTCCCCCTTCCGCCCCACCTCCCTTTTTTTCTTCTCCCTGCCCATATTTCAGAATTGCCATAGACAAACGGCAGAGCCCCAAGGCCACTTATCTGTGTGTGATCCTAGCTCCAGGCTCAGACCTAAGTGTGTCCAGTACAACCTCACTGTGTTATGCTGAATTCTGTGAAAGACATTCCAAGGAGGGAAAGGAATCCACAAGATCTTTGATTCTTAGAACTAAAATGCGTTAAAATAGCATTTTGTTCCTGCTCTTCAAACATGAATTACCTGCCCTGCTTAACATTAAAAAAAAAAAAGTCAGAATTCATTACCAACTTTATATGAGTTTCTAAAGCAGAATATGGGGGGATTAATCATTGTGCATACCTTCTCAAATGTTCATAGTTGCTGGAAGACTGGGAAGTTAATAAATTAGCCCTAATAAGAAATTTCTTTACATCATATTTGAATCTCTTATTACTCCCTCCTCTTAAGGCAGTTGGAAATACTCTATTTTTACCATTGGAAAAAAAAAAAAGGTCCCAAATCATAGCAGAAAACAACCCATCAGGTCACTGCATTTGCTCTTTCATTGTGAGAATCTCATGGGTTTGAAGAAAAGGTAGCTAGGAAGTTGAATCCCATCTCTGCCACTACCTAACTGCATGACCCAGGGTGAGTCGATTGATTTCTCAGACCTCCATTTTCTGGTATGTTGATATTAATACTCACAATATACTAGTAACTAAGAGTAATTGAGTCACAGCTCCATGCCAGGCATTGTTTTAAGCATTTTACACATGTCACCCAAGGAGGCAGCTACTATTTTCATCCCCATGTGACAGCTGATAAAACCAAAGCACAAAGAGCATGTTGCCCAGAGTCACACAGTAGAAAGTTAGAACACAATGTGCAAGATCATTTGATGGCAGAGTGATGAGCTCCATGTTTGTGACCGTAAACACATTCAGGGAAGTGTTTGGTCAGTGCCTACGGAGAAGAGAGTTCCTTTGGCTTGACCTTCTTCCTACCTCGCACAGTTGCAAGCTCCCCCTCCACGTGAGCCATGCACTGCATGGCCGTAGCCCCCACGCATATTGGCATGCTGACTCTCTGTCCTAAAACAGAAGTCGACAGGTCTATTTCAGCAACATTCCGGAGCATCCGTGGATACAGCTTCCATCTAGAATTAAGAGAAAAATAGTTTTAGAATTTCAAAAGCATAACTAGAGCTTTGACATTATGTGTTAGTTAAAAAGAGAACATTTTCTTCTATTGAAGCAAATTACAGAGCGAAAGGAAAGGGGACAATTGGGATGTCTGTGAAGATGGAAAGTTAGAATTAAGATAATAACGGATTCCTCAAGCCATTGATCCCAGTGAGGTACATTTGCCCACTTGCCCATTTGAGTGTAAAGTTTTGTGAGCTTTGATAAATGTATGGTCATAATAACTGCAAGAACAATCAAGATTTACAACAGTTTACCATCCTGAAATATTTCCCCGTTTCCTTTTGTAGTGAAATCCTCCCCTTACCCATGCCTAAACAACCACTAATTTTTTTTTTTGTCCCTATAGTTTTACTTTGCAAGAATGGTGTATAAATAGAATCATACAGTAGTCTGCGATCCTGGCTTCTTTGACTTAGCATAATGCATTTGAGATTCAGTCATATTGCTATAGGCATCAGTAGATTGTTCCTTTTGGTTGGTGAATAATATTCTGTAGTAAGAAGATTATACCATTTGTTTATCCATTCTCTTGATAAAAGACATTTAGGATGTTTAGAATTTGGTACAATTATAAATAAAGTCATAAGGAACATTCACTTAATTTTTTTGGGTGAACATAGCTTTCATTTCACTCCCTCCAAGCCTTCTGAAGATGGTACAGAAAGGCATGAAAGTCAGGTTATAGTTTAAGAAGATGGGCTGTGGCTACTCTCATATACAATGTGTGTGGGTTTTTCCAAAATCTCTTTTTTTAAATATGTGTTTATTGATATCAGAGAGAGGAGGTAAGGAAAGGGAAAGATAGATAGAAACATCAATGATGAGAGAGGATCATTGATTGGCTGCCTCCTGCACACCCCCTACTGGGGATGGAGCTGGCAACCCAGGCATGGGCCCTGTCCAAAAATTGAGCCGAGACCTCCTGGTTCATAAGTTAAGGCCCAACCACTGAGCCATACCAGCCAGGCTTTTTTCAAAATCTTTAAGCTGAATTCTGTATCCGCTGAAGTATGCTAATGAGAGGAAATTTTTTTTTAGTTTAAAATTGAGTGTTTTCTTCAAAAATATCATGTGGCAGAGATTGGAGTTTTTGACTCAAATAAATGTTGACTGCTGAACATTATCTTAAATAACTTCTTCTGTGATTGTTTTGTGTTGCAATAAAAATACCAACAACCAAAAACCAAAATGTCACTAGTGAAATTTACAGAAGAGGTACTTGTCTTTTTCTCTTGGCAAAATTTATATCTCTCATTTGTTCAAGATTATTTTATTCATCATTAGTAACTGATTTCAAAGGAAGAAAACACAGCCCTGTTCTAATGAGCTCAAAGACAATAGTGTGAGTACACAGGCATCCATACCAACCAGCGCTTACCTTTCATTACCTAGATCTACCTCTGCTCCCAGGGAGATCGAGGATTTTAGTCAATAGAGTGAAGTGTGATTTAGTAATGGACTAACCAAAATAAATTGAACCTCCATGGTCTTAAGTGAAGCCTACTTCCTATAGCGGAAGGAGAAATTCCGCCTTCATGTTGCTTTGAGAAATAGCTAACGGGTTTGTAATCCTACCCTCCAACCCTCCCTCACTTAATGAAGTGAAAACATCCAGTCCCTGCAAAGCATAATAAAGAAGTTTTACTGTGCGATTTCTCTGCATCCCTTTGAACATTGCGATTTTTGGTCACAATGCAACACAAGCACGGCTGCTGGAAACCTTTTCTTCTCCGCTGACCCTCTCAGCACGATTCTTTGATCTCCATTTTGAAGTGGGGAGAGGAGGATAGAAGCCTTGAAGAGAGTTTTTATTACCCATCATCTCTATGCGTATTATTTGAGGGAGAGAAAAGGATTTTAATAGCAGCCACTGCAGTGCAGGCCTTGGGAGGCATTCATATTTACTTAGAGCTGAGAGAACAATAGGAGCTTTTATGAAGTGCACACATAGAGCTGCAGGGCATCAGGTGTGTGTGTGTGTGTGTGCGCGCGCGCAACCATCAACGGGCAGAGGGGCATTTTCAATTGTCCAATTCTTCCTTGAAAGGCGAAGTCCAATTCTATCTCAGGCAGTAGCTTTACCCTTGTCCACATGGTGGCGCAGTCACTTTAATAACTGTGTGTTCCCGCTTCCCTACACATTATTTTTCTGTTCTGAGGATGACATTAGAGAGACTTGTGAACCAAGGCACCAAATGCAATTCCTAGACAAAATTAGATTAAAAGGCAATGGAGTGGGAAAATGTATGCTCTCAAAAAAGTCCTCCACATTTTGATATTTTCCAAAGAGCAATTGCAATTAACTTTGTCAGTTTCAATAACTTTGCAAGCCCTACCAACCCCCATCCTCAATTGAAGTGATTCCCCCACTAAAACAAACAAACAAACAAACAAACAAACAAAAAACCTTACATAAAATAGGAGTTTCCCTGAAAGGTTTGGCTCAGTGGATAGAGTGTCAGCCTGCGGACTGAAGGGTCCAGGGTTTGGTTCCCATCAAGGGCATGTACCTTGGTTGCAGACACATCCCCAGTGGGGGATGTTCAGGAGGCAGCTGGTCGATATCATTTCATCTATCTCATATCTCTCATCTAACTCTCTATCCCTCTCCCTTCCTCTCTGTAAAAAAAAAAAAAAAAAAAAAAAAAATCAATGAAATATATTTAAAATAAATAAATAGATAAATAAATAGGAGTTGACCATAACCTTGGACTGCACTCTTCTGAGACCTTCACTTTGGAAAAACTATGTGAATATTGACAAAACAATCTAACAAACTGAATAATAAACCTTTTTTAAAGGGTAGGGAGAGATGCCTGAGTAAAGGAAGTAGGGTAAAGGTGAGGAATCTTTTAACGGGGCTTTTGACCCATATTTCACATCCAACAAGGGCCTCAAATTTATTAAAAAATCAGCTGACGTGCAGATTTGAATCTATTGAAGGAAAATAGTTATATGCTGTTACTGAATCCCACCAACTGAACAGAGTGAATTAATGTTTTGTAAATCCTGTAAGATAATCCTATTGCATTCTAATTTCAACTCTAAGCATTTAGAACGTAATATCCTATATAATAAAAGGTTAATATGCAAATTGGTGGAATTTCTGGGAACAACCAGTCACTCTAATGCTCACTGACCATCGAGGGCAGACGCTCAATGCAGGAGCTGTCCCCTGGTGATCAGTGTGCTCCCATGGGGGGAGCACCACTCAGCCAGAAGCCTCCACAGCAATCGGACATCCCCCAAGGGCTCCAGGACTGCGAGAGCACAGGCTAAGCTAAGGGACCCTCTCCCTCCCTGAGTGCATGAATTTCATGCACTGGGCCTCAGTATATATATAAAACATATCACAATTTTTATAACTTTATTGTTTACCATTCATTTTTTAATACCTTCTGAAGTCCTTGAATCTCCTTCAATTGGTGAATGATGTGTGTGTGTGTGTGTGTGTGTGTGTGTGTGTGTGTGTGTGTTTGTCAACACTTTTCTGGATAAGGAAACCACAGCTTTGGGGTAGAGGGGGGAAGTAGAAGGGAGAGGGAAAGGAGGGAGGAAAGAAAGGGGAGGAGAAAATAGAGTTGGGATATGAAATTCTTTCCATGTGAATCCTCAAAAATAAGAGACAATTAGCTGCTTTTTATCGTGCAAGAGCAAAAAACAACATACCCAATTTTGCAAACTAGCTAAATGATTCTGTGACATTTATGCCTTATGAAAAAATATTGAAAATGCCACTGGTAAGTTTATGTTGCTACTCAAGTATTAAAGAGAGAATGATATAATGTTTACCATCTGTTATTTTAAAGTATCAATCAGTGATGCAAAAAAGAACGAGAATAGCTTCCTTTTCTAATATCATGAAACTTCTAAATGCCAAAATTGTAGAGTTACTTTCCACCAGTGTTAATTTCACAAGAAGACATAAAGTATATGCAGATCATGGTTAAGAAAGATACACTGAGTGAATGTGTAAAAGAATCAAATTACTGTTCTTTTTCAAATGAACTCCAATGGGGTCAGACCATGTAGGATGTAGCAAGCTGACGTCTACTCTGTCCTTGTCCTGTTTGCAATAGAAAACACTGTTTTGAGTAGTTCTATCTATTTGCCTTTATGTGTCCTTTTGTTGGTGTTGGGTGGCACAATAATATTAGAGTCCCAAGTCTTACCCAGAAATTTCTCCAAGCAACTGCTGGGTCACATACGTGGCACATGTCCCCAGAACTTCAAAATGTGGTTTTCAGAGCTAAGTGCAGAAAGATAAAAGCTGTCACTGAGAATGACCCTTGGTTGTACTTGTGGGAGAGGGAGATGTAAAAATGTCATAAATGCCTTTAAAGTACCCTGCTATTGTGTCACAACAGGCTACGATGTGAGGCCTGGTTGTCTTGTAGTCTTCATTTAAATCAGAATGAGAGATTTCAAACTGATTCCCTTCATCCCAGGAACCCAAAGCCACCACAACCCTGGCAGAAAAATCTAGTCTTAATTTCACATGATCAGCTCAATACAGGAAGAGGGATGAAGGGTCACCCATTCAGTTACACAACAAAAGAGGAACTGAGATGTTAGATAGGCAATGGTCTCTAACGTTCATTGCAAAAAAAAAACTCCTCAAGTGATTGATAATAAAATCCTCCACAGAAAGTGGATTGCATATATCCTAGAGGCCCCTTGCAGGAAGTTTCCTGCAATAGGGTTTCCTGCTGTGGTCTCTGCTGCCCCACCTGCTTCTCTCTCTTCTCCCTGCCTCGACTGCTTTTCTTCCTTTTCCACCACCCCGCTTGCTTGCTTCTCTGCAACTTCACTCCCTTCTTCAGTGCTTGGCTTCTTTCTATTCTGTCCTCAGTCTTTTCTCTGGCCTGGATAGGCAAATTAACCACTATCTTTGTTTGGTTGATTTGCATATTCGCCCTGATTGGTTGATGGGCGTAGCATATGGGTGTAGTGAAGGTACAGCCAATTTGCATGCTTCTCTTTTATTAGAGTGGATACACTGGGTGTTCAGAGATCATAATAATCTGGCCACTCAATGTATATATCTATCCATTTTTTCCCTTTCAAGGTTGAACAGAAGAGAACAATCCTGGTTTGTGGAAAAGGTAGCAGAGCAAACTCATTCCTAGTATCTCTGTCCTGTCCCTAAACCAACCCTTCAGCATACACACAGGCTGGGAAGACTCAGGGGGACAGAGAACTACATGGTTCACACAAGCGGTGAGGTTCAGATCAGAGCTTGGAAGCACTGCACACAGCCTTTTACGGCTCACACAGTTTCTGGAATTCCTAGGGCTGCAGAGGGGGTCCGTCTGCTTTGCTGCACACCTTGGCTCCCTCTTGAAGGCTACCATGGGGCCAACTGTTTTGGGTCCATTCTACACCCATGCAACCCACCAGCATTATGGAGGCCAGGCCCATATGTGTCCATTGGAATGTAAGATCCCCTGGACAGGAACTTTCTCTGTCTGGCTCATCGCTCTGTCCTCAGCATTTAATACAGTCTAGCCAATCAAGGTTCCTAATAAGTGTTCATAGATTATTTAACTAGCATGGGTTGAGGGGAGATATAGGCAGAGGAAGGCTGTACATAAATGGAATAGGTGGTCCCCTGACATTGTGCCTTGCCGTGGTCAGCAAACTGCAGCTCGTGAGCCACATGTGGCTCTTTGGCCCCTTGAGTGTGGCTCTTCCACAAAATACCATGGCCTGGGCGAGTCTATTTTGAAGAAGTGGCGTTAGGAGACATTTAAGTTTTAAAAATTTGGCTCTCAAAAGAAATTTCAATCGTTGTACTGTTGCTATTTGGCTCTGTTGACTAATGAGTTTGCCGGCCACTGCCTTAAGGAATGCTAACAGGCACCAACTCCATAAGCCTAACAAGGGCCTGGCCTTTCCTTGGTTAAAGTGACCTATTGGGTTAAGGTGTTGTCTTCAGGAGATGACTAATAAGCAAACTACATTACCTGGTCAACAGAGTTGACATGGGCCCAGGAAGGGCCATCTTCCAAGAGCAGAAAACTAAAAGGGCAAAAGTATTAATGATTGAAAAACACACAGAACTGTAAGCCCCTCCTCTACTCTTAGCCAACTTTTCCCTCCCCACACTCTTCCAACATTTTTTCAGCTCATTTGGTTTCAAGGGAAGATCTGAAATAAAGTCAAGGCTGCCAAAGGTTTGGGGGAGGCCCCAACGTGCAACCCATTCTCAGGCTCCTGCACTGATTTGCAGGTGAATCTGTCCTGCTTGCTAGGGAGCACCTTGGTTAGAATGGTCTCATTCCTCCTCATTTATACATGAAGAAGTGAATTTGAGTGATTTTGCTCTAGACTAAAGAAATAAAAAAATCAAGAAGAAAGGCAGATTCTTTCCCCTGGATATTTTTTCCCTTTTCTATTTAATTTATCGCCATCAATGAGCACCCGCGACACTCGTTGGCTTTACTAAAGGCTCTCATGTAAAATGGATGAGCCTGAGAGAGTGTGTATTCAGAGCTCTTCTCCCCTCCTGGAGCAAATAAACCATTTTTGTAACTGTCGAGAGATAAAACACTCCTTTAAAGTTATTTTCCTTTCTGTTTTTATTATGAGCAGAAAACATAAACCATGACACCCACCATCCTGTGCTTTGAAATATGAAAGTTAAGGGAAAACGGACTTGGGAAGAGAGAGATGAAGCTCTTTGGAGCAGAGATGAAACAGCAAAGTTGAAAGATGAATGCTCCATAGACAAAATGAAATCTAAAGTGAAAGTTTAGACAACAGTCATCAACATGAATGATAAGAGGCAAGCCAGCAGGATGGGAACATTTGAGACAAATGTTCTGGCTCAACCAGGGAAGATGATTATCTTGCATTTAATGTCTTTCCTACACCGTGAGCAGACTCTCACAGTCCTACTCAGAGAAAAAGACAATGGGGCAATCACAATTCAGTGCTGCTCTTTTACACAAAGTTAAATCAGTTATCCACATAATTCCAAGTGGGGAAACTTAAAGTTGGCTTTCAGTCAATCATTCAATATTCTCAGGCTTAGAATAGTTTAAAATAATGTAAAAGCCCAAGGTTTCTCCAAATCCCAAGATTTTCCCCTTCTCTATTAAGCATAGACAAATAATTCCACGTCATCGACATTAAAACTAGGGGAACTTATTTTTGGAAGAATGCCTTTGTGTAATTTTAAAATGTGATTTAAAAATAAATGTGTTTTCTTACCTGGAAAATGCCGCCATATTATCAGCGAGGGTTTCCTGATCATTTGCCCCAGACCTATAATAGTCATAGATAGACTTAGGAAGAATTGACTTAGCATGTTGTTCATAATCGCTGATACAAACTAGCCGGGTGAACATCTTCACCGGTTATTGCAAGCCCAAGGTTGGTTTTATTTGTTTTCCCGTGTTGCCTTCTACATCTTGACAATTCTGTTATTTGTCAATGATTAATAGACTTTTTTCCAAAGTTCAGATTTAGTTCACTGGGGTTACATTAAGTGAGCAAACATATGCTTAGACTTTGAAATTTCATTTGAAACAATCAGCCAAAGAAGAGCAATGCCTGTCCTAAGCCATGAGAAATGGGGGTTAGAGAGCAGCAATTTCTCTCACATTAAAAAGGCAGAGGAATGAGTTTAAAAAAATCAACAACTTAGAGCTAACTACTTGCATGAACCTGCACTTGGCTTGGCTCAGTTCTACTATGGGTGCTTCCTCCACACAGTGTGTGCCTTTGCTCCTTCCTTGGTCCCCAGAATGGATGGCCATTCATGTTCCTGCCACATGTGGATCGCACACATATCATGTGAAAAAAGAGCTGATGTAACAAGTGGGACCTCCAGGAAACACAAATGTCCACTCAATCTGAAATGTGGCTGATTATGAACATTCGGCTTTAAGAAGGAACCTGAAGGTCAGACACATGGCTAATTCTTACAAATTCTTACCTCGCTCTGGAGTGGTTGTAAGGAGGTGCTATTCTTAAGGACCCTGTGGTCAGTCTAGGATTCCAGTTAGTCATGGAACACCCGGCGAACTCTCACACTGATCAGACAAAATTCACAAAGCAGTGGCTTTGACGTCAGTCGGTCCAGGGTTTCAGTCTAGGAGCCTCCAATTAAAGCCAGCAATTCAGCAGTTGCAGTCCATCTGCAGGCAAACTGGCCCCTGGCAACGTAAGACAGAAACGTTCAAACCTGTAGAGAATTTTGATGAGTTTCACTGAGCCAAACTGACGACAATCACCAGGAAGCAAGCTCTCAAGGGATTGAGAAAATGCTCCAGAGAGTGGCAGTTTTGCATCTTATTTTGTACATCACAACCCAAGGAAGAGGCCTGAGGAAGGTTACATGAGATCCACTGGTGCTAAGTTAGCGGGTAGGAGAAAGAAAAGCTGGGAAACCTCTGGGATTGGATACAAAGTAAAATGGAGAGATGTATTCCTTGTACATTGGTGGATATAGGAGAGTTAGCAGCTAACATTTACAGCGCATAGAGGTGGTATGCAAGGGGCAAGATAACGAAAGGTTCAGTCCCCACATTGCTTAATTGATCTCTTAGTGGAGAGAACTGAAAGTAGTGGTTGGAAGTTAGAACAGTTTTTGTTCATTGCATATGTAAATACCTCACATTGTTTTAGAGACAATACCTTCTGTAAAACTCCTCTCTAGGCCTCAGTGAAGTTGAAACTGCAGAACCAGCTCAACATGGTCCTATTCTGTTTCACACAAGATACTGAGTTGCCTTTCAGAGACAATGGGCCAAAACTGCCAGCCATGCAACCAAAGCATGCACAGAGGAGAGGACTTGGACCACCAGCTGCACTCGGAACCAAAATTGCACCTCCCGCTCATCAGAACCAAAGGACCAGGTCAGGACCTGAATTTGAACACAGGAACCCTTTCAGAAGGAAAGGGTGCCTTGTGCAGGAAGATCCGAGGCTGAAACCTTTAGCATATCCTCCTAGCTAATAAAGATAATAATGCAAATTGACTGTCATGCTGTAACAAGGTGGCTGCACACACAGCAGAGCTGGGGTTCCCATAACACAGTGTTTCCCAAACTTCTCTCATGATGAGAATCACCTGGTGGAGTTGTTAAACTACAGATTCCTGAATCCCACTAAGAAGTGCTAAACTAGAATTTTTGGGAACATACGGGTAAAATTGTATACTTAACTTAGTGCTCTGTCTTAGAGCACTAAAAATTCTAGCTTAGCACTTCTTAGTTGGGATTCAGGAATATGTATTTTAACAACTCCACCAGATGATTCTCATCATGAGAGAAGTTTGGGAAACACTGCATAACACCACAAGGCTGGGCCCACAGCAGATGCCTACGTAGTTCTCATAACGAGCCTTAATGAGCAATCAGCAGGGACCTGAGGCTGCATGGTGATGGGCCAGGGCAGGGGACCTGAGACTGTGCCCCCTGCTTGGTGGAGCTTGACAGGGGACTTCAGGCTGCATCCCCCATCTGGCGGAGCTTGTTGGAGGATCTCAGGCCAGACTCCTCACCCCAGCATTGGGCCAGGGGACCTGAGGCCCCACCCCACACAATGGCGCTGGGCAGTGGGACTTGAGGCTGTATCCCCCAACTGTTGGGGCTTGACAGGAGACTTCAAGCCTCACACCCTGCCCTGGTTCCAGGCCAGAGTACCTGAGGCTGCACCCCCCACCCGGAGGGCTTGATGGGGGTGGACTGGCTGGGTCTGGATATTGCCCAATGGGGGTGAGGCCGGCTGGATCTAGGTCTAGAGTAATTTCAAGGTGCACGTGGGTGGGCGGGGACTTGACTCTGGTTCCTGTGGTGCACCCCAGACTCTGACAGGAGGAAGATTTTCATGTGCATTTTACTGATTGTCTTTCATCTCCGACACTTCTATTATAGAGAAAGGGCAAATAGCAATATTAAAATATTTCCTCTAATTAATTCCTTTTTAATGTGCATGAATTTCGTTAACCCAATCACCATAAACGGCCAACTTCCAACCTTCTCCAATCAAAATGTGCACTGCCACCCTGGCTCGTTTGGTTCAATGCCTAGAGCATCTGCGTATGGACTGAAAGGTCCCTGGTTTAATTCTGGTCAAGGGTACATTCCCGGGGTTGTGGGCTCAATCCCCAGTAGGGGGCATGCAGGAGGCAGCCAATCAATTATTCTCTCACATCATGGATGTTTCTAGCTCTCTCTCCCTCTCCCTTCCTCTCTGAATCAATAAAAAATATATTTAAAAATCAAACAAACAAACCCGTTGATTCAATAACTTTGGGGAGTTTGGGTTTTAAGCAATAGCTTTCTGTTCTCCTTGGTCGGTGCCCTGCAAATTAAGCAGTTTTAATTTCTCCATAGCAAACCTGATGTTCTGTGTTTGGCTTTGCTGTGCATGAGGTGGGAAAACCTTCGTTCTGGATGGTTCAGCTTAATAACAAAATGAGATGCAGAGGACATAACACATCCAAACAAGTCCAGGCCTTGTTCAAGCCACTAGAGTCTGCATTTGCCAGCCCTGGCCCCAACCCCTCCACCCATCAATTTCAGAAGCAGGATGTCTGAGAATGCCAATGCAGCCAATGCAATGGCATCTGCTGGATTTGAGCACTCTCCTTCCCAGTGGCCAAAAGAATAGGAATTGTTTTACACGAGACTTAACTGTTTTACACCTAATTTATGCCCAGTCCTACCTAATATCCCAATAAGATGCTTCACCACATGCACATCCTTTGGATATTTTCTAAACCACGTAACTCTTCCCCTGCCTTCATCCCAAGGGAAACGCAAGTGTGAGCCAGAACGAAGCAGTGAGAACTCCACATCCTTAAGGGATTTTCGCTCTCATTTGTCTTAAGATGTAATTCGGAATATCGCTCGGAGAAGGTCTTCTTTTCTGTTTTTATCCTTTTCAGAGGCTTTTCTTTTTCAATGATGTGTAAGATTGGTAAAATCTTAATTATCTCCATCATTCTAAGCACTAAAAGGGGCTGTTTACAACTTGATAAGCACCAATATCTGAACCACCAGGAAATCCTGGACAGGCACAGAGAGTGCCTCTTATAGGGTAAACTTATCTCACTGTGACTTTACTTTTCGCTTTCTTGATAACTAGTGACTTTGATCACCTTTTAATATGTTTACTGGCCTTTTAATTTTCCACTTTTTGAAATGCTTGGTCATGTTTTTGGCCATTTTTTTGTATTTGAGTTTTTATTGTTATTGACTGGGAGAGTTGTGATTTTTTTTTTTTTTTTACAGATACTTTGTGGTTATACATGTAAAAGGCACATTTTTACTAACTTCTTGACTTTCACTCACATACAAATAATGCCAATGTCAACCCCAAAGCTGCATGATTAAAAGCATATGGTTAGCCCTAACTAGTTTGGCTCAATGGATACAGCATCAGCCTGTGGACTCAAGGGTCCCAGGTTCAATTCCGGTCAAGGGCATGTACCTTGGTTGTGGGGAGTGTGCAGGAGGCAGCTGATAGATGTTTCTCTCTCATCTATGTTTTTTACTCTCTATCCCTCTCCCTTCCTCTCTGTAAAAAAATCAATAAAATATATTTTTTAAAAAGCATGTGGTTAGTCTCCATTTTCTTTCTTTCCCTTCCTTCCTCAGTCTCTTTCTTTTTCTCTCCCTCCCTGTCTCCCTTCCTTTCTTTCTCTTTGTTTTTACCTTTAATTTAGTTTCCTTTTCATTGGTCATCTTCTTTTCTTTCCTCTTCCTCCCCCTCCTCTTATTTTCCCTCTTTTCTCCCCCCTCCTGTTCTAAGTAGAACCAAGGCCTGGACAGCAAGTTGCCTCTCACTGGATTTTTTGCTGGTTCACCCACTGAATGTGTCCCCCGTGAGCTCTTGGCTTTAAGCTGGGATGAAAGGGTATGCAAGTGTTACAGACTGCTGAAAGCCCCCCTCTTTCATGCTGTGCCACAGGGCAGGATTTTGCAAGCTGTCTCCTGGGAGTGTCCTGAAGATATTGAGGAAGGGTGCAAGGAGTTCGCTTGTGTTTCTTTAGGACCTTGAGTTAACATCCTTTTGAGGATCCCCTTGAAAGTGATATGGTTTGCCTTCTGTTCCCCCCAAGACTCTTGAGGCTATTTAAATGGAGCTCCAATAAAGGGTGCAAAACATGCCCTTGGGAGGGAGAGGGGGAGAAAGAGCTTTAGGATTCTGCCTAATGCTCTCCCCTGGTATTTGGCCTGTTTATTCCATACTGTTTTAGGGACATTTTGATGCCTTTAGAAACATGTGTGTTATACTTAAAATAACTGTAAAGTACTTCAGCAGGATGATTTGAATTGACGTATTTTGGATCACTCAGTATGAATACAGGTGACTAATCATTGGATCACTAAGGACTGGTCACGAATGACTGTTTCGGTTTTGTTTTATCCTACTGTCCCAGACCTAGTATGT